TGGTGGAAGCTACAGACCCTCTCCCTGGAAAAATGCCTGTGAGTGCAACACACATTTTGTATGTAATTCCAGAGGATCGTGAAACCTGTGAAATCTATCTGTGGACCCTCTTTAAGAGCCCTCCTCTAGGGCAGCATTTCCCAAGTGTGGGACACATATCACTACTAGTGTTCAAAATGAGTTTAGCAGCGTGAGGACAACACACTTTATATTCTAATATTTATAGATACCTTCTATTTATGACAAATGAGATTGGTTTTCCATCTATGGTAATGATAATAAATTTGCCTTTAAAAAAAATATACTTATTTTAAAAAGTAAAAGGAATTTAAAGAAAAATATTGAATACACAATAGTAGATGTAGGGTGTAAGTATAGCAAAAATAACAAGGATGATTTAGGAAATTCTTGGGGTTTCTACTTGGTGAAGTCATAGTGGGTTTACTTTAGCATCTTCTGAACTTCCAGAGGATTCTGGCAATGACCTGTTTCTGGACTCTCTAAAATCTATGATGGTTCTGATCGACCAAGAATGCTGTTGAGTCTCCACTTTCTCGCCTTCCCATGGAATCTCTATAGTGCCTCTGATGAGCTGAACCCTCCCTACTGCCAATCAGAGCTACACCAGATATAGTCTTTGTGCAGCTCTAAGTGCAGGCATTTTGGTTCTGTACCCATTCATTTATTCAGCATTCATTCAGCAAACATCACGTGCCAAGTAACAAACATAGGCCATACTCCATTCACTCCCAGAAAGTATGGAATCCCCAGCACCCAAGAATAAGCCAACCTGTCGGATGTGATGAAAAGAGCGCTAGATTTGGAGTCAGACCAGGATCTTAGAAATCTGGCCCCATAAGTAACTCACTGTGTAATCATAGGCAGGTCTCTTCCCTCTGTGTTGTCTTTTTTCTGACACCACTTCTGATACTATGTATTTTTTTCTTCCTAACACCAAATACTTATTTTCCACACCAATTCTTCAAATCTCAAACATCAACTGGGTGTCCAACAATTCAGATCTGCCACTAACTCCCAGAGTTAGCGCAGACCCCACAGGCTTAGGGACCAGCCCCACAAGACTGTCCTCACTTCAGATGCCAGCTGTAAACGTAGTTCCCCGCTACCCTCACTTCTCCCAGCTGACTACAAATATGGAGATTCTCATGACTACTTCCTCAGATTTGCTAATTCTCTCTAACGACTCACAGAACTCAGGAAAGTTCTATACTTAACATTACAGATTTATTATAAAGGATACAACTCAGGAACAGCCAAATGGAAAAGATGCATAAGGCAAGATATTTGGGCTGTGGGTGGCACAGAGTTTCCAATGGCTTCTCCGGGTGTACCACCCTCACAGCACCTCATAGCTTTGGAGTTTTTATGGAGATTTCATTATGTAGGTATGGCCACTGGTGATTGAACTGTCTCTCCAGACCCTCTTCCCTCCCAGGAGGTCAGTAGATGGGGACTGTGGGAGAAGGGGACATGGGCTAGGGTAGGTGGCTGAAAATTTCAACCCTCTAGTGACCATCTATCTAGCTATCTGAAGCTATCTATCCCTCTCTCCACAGAGTCATCTCATTAGCATAAATTCAGGTGTAGTTGTTAGGGGTTTATTATGAAAAATAAAATAGATACTCTGATCACTCAGGAAATTCCAAGGGTTTTAAGAGCTCTGTGCTAGGAACCCTGGACAAAGGCCAAATATATTTTATTATACTACACCTATGAGCCTGTCTTTTGGTTACACAAAGAAGGTATTTGACTGGATAAGAGGTTGCAAACTGGAGGCCCAAAGACCATATCTGGACTGTACTGTGTTTTAAAAAATGAATTAGTACATGTTTAAAAGTGATATTTCTCATAAAAATAATCTAGATTTCTGATCGCTCTTGAAAATCAGAAGATTTAGCAACACTAGGTCAGCATTTTCAAGTAACAACATCTGCCTGGCACCTTTAAATGGGCTTTTCTGTTTGCCACAGTCCCCACCAGTCCTTATCGCTGCCTACCTCGTCTCACTCATTAATGTTACCTGCTGGGCCCCTGTATTTCTAAAGTCCTTTCAAACCCCTATGATGGTAGAAGGATTAGGTTACTGTTGACTAGAAGCTCCTTGAAGATGGACTGGAACTGATTCTAGGTACATATTTCAAGCATCCAAATGCAGTACATTTCTCTGATAATTAGGAGATATTTATTGCCTGCCTTACTGTGAGATGGATAGGATACGAGAAATGGTTCTATTGAAATGTCATAAAGGAATGAAAAAGGCAGAAAGGTTTTTGATTACTAGAAACAATACTGTAGGGGTCTTGGGGGTTAAACATAGGCCAGAAAGGTGTGAGTTTCTGATAGTGCTCTTCTTTCACATTTAAAGAAAATATGTAGGGTCAAGAACTGGTTTAGATGAGCAATTCGAACACAGGCAATGCTAGGGAAGGCAGGTGCTACAAATGGAGAAAAACGTATAGGCGAAACAAATTCCAATTTCAGTCACAACACCTTAACATCATCCCATTTCAAATTCCTTTTCTTCAAAGTTATAAACAAGAAAAAGGCAGTGTCTACTTAACTAAGCGTATTAAAGCATACTGTACTGAAGTTAGGAGAATGGATATTAGGGTCATCCTGGAACTTACTCATTAACAGTGTGACCTGGTGAAAGTCAATTTCCTAATATGTAAAATAGGCATATAATACCTGGTATTTTTTTCTATGCAAATAACTTATTTTTAAAAAACCTTAACTATTTAAAAAATTATTTATTTTACTAAAGTATAGTTGACATAATATATTAATTTCAGGTGTATAAATAGTGATTCGAGGAGACCTGGTATTTTTAATTCAATGCATACTATGTGGCAGATGCTAAATTAGATGCTGAAGATTCAGCAGTGAACAAGACAGATAGTAACCAAGGGACAGACAGTAACCAAGCAAATAAATACATGAGCTAATTCCTTTGAAGGAATAAATGAGGCAAGTACAATAGAAAAACTGAAAGTGTCGTTGTAGGGAGTAACTGAAGGGTGGTGGTAGAAGGCAAATAGAAATAAATGGGAGTTCAGGGAAGGTGGCATTTGAGCTGAAATCTAAATGAGCAGACAGCTTTGTCAAGAGGAAGACAGGAAGAAAGGGGTCCCAGGCACAGCTGTTGTGAGGAATAACAGTGGATGCATAGCACTTGGTGGTAGGCAACCACTCAGTAAACAGCTGCTATTATTAACTTATCCACCTTAACTACTTTCAGCAACTTCTGTTCAAACAGTGAGAAGCTGGCTAAGCCATAGATCAGAAGGATAAATAAATATACATGTGTATGAAAAGTAAAGGTCCCCAAGAGTGATTCAGGTTCTGGCATCATCAGTAGATCCCACAGCTCTAAATCATACACCCAAGACAGGTAGAAACACTAATCTAGCCTCGCCCAAGTCAGGTAAAAGCACTAACCTAGCTTTGTCCAAGCCAGGTGGAAGCATTAACCCAGCTTCACTTCTGTTGCCAACCCAACTTCTTCCTCAGAAGTGACAGCATATAGAAAACTATTTTAACTCCTCAAATCTATAATCTCAGCATTGGAAACCTGGAATTGAGAAAAGCCTCTTAATTTAACAGATGTGTATATGTTGTACCTTAGGTTCTCATTATACTCACTTCCCTCTCTTCGGAGTTGTGTGCCCCTGTCTGATTAAATTGTAAGGGGCTCTGGGTTAATAAGAGTAGGTGGTCAAGAAGAAAAATGCAGAAACGTAAACAGAAGGCTTCTGGTTACATGATTACCCTGATAATTTGTTAATGGAAGTTCAAAAGCACATTACAGGCATTTAAGGGGTGGTTCTAAACCTTGCTGTGACTTTTGGGGACAGTTCTGTAAACTAATAGTTGATAAGATTCTTTAAGCACTTACTATGTCCCACATGTTGTGCTGAGAACTTCAAACACATTAGTTCATTTAATACTCTCAACATGCCTCTATAAAGTGTTTTCCTTTTATACTTACACTCCTTTAAAGATCAAAAACTGAGGTTCAAACAGCTAGTAAATAACAATGCTGGGATTTAAATCCAGAACTGACTCTGCTCTAAACCCCCAAGACCTTGCTTTTTTTAACCACTTAGTGGTTAGCTTCCCTAAGCCAGAGGAAATACTTCTGAGGGATGCCTTTCTATTCTTTAGGGCAGCTCCGCGGTAGAGATAAATCCCCAACCAAGAAACTCCCACACCGAAAAAAGCTGCCTCATCGGAGCAAGAAGCCCCACCCTGGACACACACACCAATCGGCAATTTCAAATTCATTTAGAGGGCCCCCCACCCCCTTAAAGGAGGTCTGCATTGCCCAGCAGGGAGATCCTGCTCTTGGGGATAACCCTTTAATTCATAAGGAAACCCTCTCCTAGTACTGAGGAACCACTCCCCAATATTTCAAAGAAGGACTGACTACGTAATTTTTTGGGCCCAATGCAGAATGAAAATGTGGGGTCCCTTGTTAAAAAAAAAAAAAGAATTTCGAGAATGATACAGTAGAGCATTAAACCAAGCCTTGGGGTTCCTCTTCTGCGACTGCACTGGTTATTTGCCTAGGAAATCGGCCCTGCTTCAGAGAGAACCTTCCAGTGAAGGGATTGGCCACCTCAGTCAGCATCCGTAAATCCTTCTACCTGGGATGGATCGGACTATCCTTATACGAGAACAAACCTTGGGACAACCTCCGTAAATTTGGAATCACTTCCCTCGGCTTGGGTAGAAGGTCCCCTCGCATCCCTCTAGCCGCTGGGTGGTTCTCACAACCGCGCCCCAGCTCCACCTTCGCGGTGTGTGGGCCTCACCGCGTGCGGCCCATTGCCGGGGCAACCGACGCCACGAGCGGTGCATTGTGGTCTGCAACAAAATGCAGGAGAAAGATCCTGAGGGAACCATTGAGCCCATTGACCAATGGGAGAGTCCTGGTGGCTGCGTCAAACCAATAGAGATGTTCTGTGGGGGGCGGGGCCGGCGGGAGCAGGGCGGAGCGTAGGCACTAGGCGGCGGCGGCTGGTGTGGGGCTCCTTAGATGCGCCACGGCTTAGGTAGCGACGGCATCTCTCGCTGGGTCTGAGCCTTGCCAGCCCCTCCCCCAGGAGACCGTTGCAGTCGGCCAGCCCCTGCTCCACTGTGAGAGACTCGGGGGCACAGAGGGGGCTTCGCTAACTGGTTTCGTTCTCCGCGGGACTTCTCCCGCCGTTCGGTTTGCGCAGCCCGCGCTACCTGGGAAGAAGTGGGGGGTGGGGGGGCGTCATCCTGGGATGGCATGGGGCGGGCAGAGTGGGCCAGGGGAGCTGGTGCTTCTCAGGCGCAGCCCACACACCAACTCCTCATCCCTTGCCCGGGCTTCTCCCCCTAGATAACCATGTGCGACCGAAAGGCGGTGATCAAAAATGCCGATATGTCGGAGGAGATGCAACAGGACTCGGTGGAGTGTGCCACTCAGGCGTTGGAGAAATACAATATAGAGAAGGACATTGCGGCTCATATTAAGAAGGTGAGGATGGGGCTCGGGCTGATTGCGCGCAGCTGCGGGGAGTCACGACTTAAGTTTCTTCTCTCGGATCATGCATTCCCAGAGTGCCTGGCAGAGAACCCTGGGGACACTCAGGGCAGCTCGGGTGTAGAGGTTTCCAGAAAGAACGCAAGTGAATTCTGTGCTCCTCTTGGGAAGACCAGAACCTCTGCGCCCCAAGTTTTTTTATTACCCAGCTCCGCGGGGGAAAGCGCCACCTAGCAACGGTTTCTAGGATCAGGGAGCAGCAGTTTCCCCTTCTGCATGATTCCTGCGCTTAGGATCCATCTGGGTGTTCCGAAGGGGGGAGCTGCGTGGGTGTTTCCAGCCCGGCCGGAGGGGGATCTTGCCAGCCTTCCAGTGGGGAGTTTAGTCGGCACTTGAGAGAAAGTGGGTGGTGGTGGTTGTTGAGGCTTGGGGTGGGGGCTTAGTAAATGACAATCCGAAGAGAGCTGGCAGAACTGCCAACTTCTCCAGCTCTGTTTTCTGGAAGGGAAGAAAGCTGGCAGCCTAAGCCGTGGGAGGGTTCCAGTGGAGAATGAGATGAAAGATTTCAGAAGGAACAAAAATAAACACCTTTTTTGACGAACGCATCAGTGCGTTCGTCTGGTTTGTAATAATGTTGTTCCTGTAATAGATCTAAAAGATGTTCACGTTGCATACCATATGAAAGTAGCCAAATTTTGTGTATCTCTCCACAGACTTGTAAGAATTTTATAGAAAAGAATTAGATTTGGCCCCTCCCTATAGTCACCTAGTGAAATTAACAGGCCCATTCTGGTCCCCAGAGCCTTTTGGGGTGGGGAGAATAGGGGAAAATTGTTCCTGCAATTTACTATCCTCGTGGACTGGGTGCTGGATTAGCATTAGCATAGATGTGGAAAGGGGGACTATTGAAACTGAAATTAAGGGGAAAATATGACCAGGTGGTTGTCAGGTTTTGCTTCCAGCATTCTTTTTAAAGGAGCAGTGGAGTGTAAAGTGTCTTGTCCCCTCAAATTTAAATTTTGATCCCCAGTGATTTAGATACCAATGGAAACTGTCTTTTTTGAAGTCTCGTTATCAGTGATACCAGAGTGCAGTTAAGGAATGAGTTCCAATGGGGTATTTATCATTTTCTTGGATTTTGGGGTGCATGACATACAGTAGGGAGATAGTTGAGTTTCTTGTGTTTACACATGAGAACATGATAAACTAGAACTGTTGAAGTCACCTGCTATCAATGAATAAGAATATTACAGGAGTTATGAAGATAGAGTTACCATGGAATACCACGATAACAAAGCACCCTGTCTTTGAGGCTGCCCTTTCTGCCTTTTACCTCCCAGCCCCCATTCTCAGCTTAGCTCAGACTGCAAGTATGTTTGCATTAATGCACTATGTAGGCGACTTGGAGCTGGGAAACATTCTTGCATTCTAAGAATTTGCAGATGCTAACGTTCTTTCTTTCTGCCCCTACAGGCTCTGCTTACCCAGGAGGTAAACTCTGGTTTTGCACTAAAATTCTGGTGTTTTTTCCTCCCCTCCCTGCCCTCCAGGAGTTTGACAAGAAGTACAACCCCACCTGGCACTGCATCGTGGGGAGGAACTTCGGTAGTTACGTGACACATGAAACCAAACACTTCATCTACTTCTACCTGGGCCAAGTGGCCATTCTTCTGTTCAAATCTGGTTAAAAGCATGGACTGTGCTACACACCCAGTGATCCATCCAAAAACAAGGACTGCAGCCTAAATTCCAAATACCAGAGACTGAAATCTTCAGCCTTGCCTAAAGGAACACCTTGATCTTGAACCTTTGTGTTTTGTACAGGGCATTCTCTGTACTCATTTGTTGTGGTTATAAAACAATTAGCAAAACAGCTTACATTTGTATTTATTTTCTATTCCATACCTCTCTGCCCCATGTTTTCTCTCCTGAAAATCCATTCCTTTCCAAAATAATAATAATAATAATAATAAATCTGTTGGAGAAGTGTGTGTTAGTTACAATTTGTTTAAATACTCTGGGTGAAGATGGCCTATAGGTCCCATACTAGATTAGTGGGGGAGAGTCCTTGAAGTAAGTTTCTGTGGGATGTGGTAGCCGAGCCTATTCAGTACTTTGGAGTCTTTAATTCTCACCTGTTGGCAGCTGTTGTGCATGGTAGAATAATACTCAGAAGTGCATGTCAGAGAAACTTGTATTAAATCTGATTCCTAATCTGATAAATACTATCCTTAAGTGCTCATTTTGTTAGATGTTGCTATAGAATGTTCTGGGCCTTAGGCCTTAGGTGGTGGTCAATGTGTGGTAGAACTTCACATAAGCGTTCTGTAGCTGTAAAATGGAAATTAGCTAATAACAAAGTTGGCTAATGAGAAATTTGAGCTCTGGGCTATCCCCTTTCCCTGCTGAGCTCCAAAAAGATAACCTTAAAGATTACAGGTGATTTTAAAAGGGAAAATGAGAGGTTTTGAGCAGCAGCCTTACAAGTGATTTTTAACAAAGTCTGCAGGAATTTAAATGTCTAAGCCTGCTGTGCTGGGCTTCAACTGGCTGTGGTCAGAAACCCAATTAAATGTGAATTGAGGCTTTCATTAAGAGACCCAATTAAGGCTGGATAAGCAACCTTCATTAAAGGTTTCCTGGTACAAATTTTAGGAAGACTTGTCTTTTAAGAAAAGCAAATATGGCAGACTTGGCTCTTGAAGGTAAAAAGGAAATACTCTAGAGGCCGAAACAACCCAAACCCTTCTTGGACTTGAAGTTCCAAGGATGGTCCTGGCTTTTAAGTTACCTTATGCTCAGTGTTCACATGAGGTAAGCCTTTTTGTTTTAGGTCTTAGGTGTGTCAGCTACAATTAGGATTTCTGAGCAGCCAGGCTATTGCTACATAGAAGGGGAAAATGGATTTGAAATGATAGGTAATGACTCCATCTTAAAAGCAGTGTTAGGTCTGTAACATCTTTGGAAGATTATTTTTCTTTATCAGAACTTGGGGTTTTAGGACTCTCAGTGAAGTTAAGCTACATTAGGATGTGGAAAGTTTCGGGGCAAAAAGGCAAAAATGTTTTACTGTTTATTGTGGCAGAATGAGAGAAGTTTTTCTTTCTGCAGGAAAGAAGGATGTACTGCATTTGGGGTGATTTTTGTATTTATATAAGTGGACTGAAAATGTTCCCATAATTAATCTTTTTACTGTCTCCCTTCCCTCTTTAATGACCTGGCTATATTTCTATTTGAAGCCCAACAGGAATTTGGCTTCCAAAGCTGTATAAATCTTGTTCCATTAACCTTACTTCCAAACAGTCTCCAGCAACAGACCCTGGAGCTGACTTAAGGCCACAAGCAACTGGATATTGGGGGTTCTGATTTGATTAGATCCATATCTACTGCCAGGAAGTGGCAGCTTTTAACTTTTGTTTTTTGATACAAATGTGAGAAAACTACATTGCCTTGGAGATAGGACTGGGTTGATGGTTTATGAAGTTCTTTCAAGTGCCTGCTCCTTGTTAATTTTAAAGACCAATAGGCTTCAGCTGACTGACAACAAAATAAGCTACAGCTTTTCTAAGGTTTAGAATTTCATTAAATGCTCTTAGTTGCTGTTCTTTGAGATAGTTACATATACATAGCTATATCTGGAAGCTTTTCAGTGACAGGGCAAGGTCTTATGAATGAGGTGAATAAATGACCCTTACTGTCTACTGGGCCAAGAAGCAGCATATCTGAAGCCTTTTCAGATAGCCCTGAACTAAGTTATTTACAATTAAACTCCCAGCCAACTCACAGGTTGATTTATGCAATTTCTTAGCAAGACCCCACAAAACCTTAAGCTTTATCCACACTCAAAATATGGCCTCATTTAAACATCAGTGACTGTATTAGAGATATGAGAGCTCTGCCCTCCTCTGCCCCTGAGTACTGGAGGGAGTTAGGCTAGATAAAGTTATCAAACTTTTTTTGGCTATAAAACCCTTCAAACGTATTCTGACAAAGAAGCTCCCCATGTAAGACATGGAAGCAGGAGTTTGCTGTTACATTTTTTTTCTATTTTTTAATTTTTCAATTACAGATGGCACACTATCAGTCTCAACGTTTATTCTTTTGACAAGGAATTGAGTTGTTTTCACGACAGGCACTGAGGACACAAAAGTGGCTTTTGGTAAAAGAGCATAGGATACGTGACAAATATATTTCCCATACCCCCTCAAGAAAAAAAAAAACATTGTACAAATTGTAAACTCATTTAGTGGTTCAGTACATAATTATAGTCATGATCATTAGCCCTCTGACTTGGGCCTGGTTTTTGGCTCTCAACCAGTCCTAGGCTGAAAGGTTGACTCGGCTACAGTTAGGAAGTTTTCTGGTTCAAATCATCATTAGCTTCAAATGAATCATTATCCCCCTAGAAGGCAGCACCAGCAGAGAAACTACAAACACTTCAAAACTGAGTTTTAGTGCTGGTTTTACCTTAACCACACATTGCACAGCTGAGAAAAATTAGAAGGAAAATTGAGCAAAAGATACTGACACAATGCCATGGGGAGAAGGCCTAAAGCAACTCTTACTGAAAGCTCCAGTAAAGTGACAGGAATTTGTTTCTTCCACTTTGAGACTGGCCACACCTGAACAAGGCACATATCCTTGAGAGGAGATGTTCTGTTGCTGGTCTCACTAGCCTGATTATACTTCAGTTGCAGGCATTTGACAGGATGTGATGGGTTCACGGTCCAGGATGGTGAAGGAGTTATAGTTTGAAGCCAGAATGAATGGCCACGATGCCTGATGTTAGACTCTCATAAGTCACTTTCTGGAAACCTGCATCTTCTATCATCTCCTTGAACTCCTCCTACAACACAAAGGAAGATATAGCAATCTTCGGATTTCACCTTTAGGGTATTTGTCGTAAGCCACAGAAGTTTTGTACCTGAGATGGGAACTGTCGGATACTCTCAACGAGGTATTGATAGGATTTCCAGTTTCCTGCGATGACCTCTCCCAGGACAGGAATGACCTGGAAGCTATAGAGATCATAAAGCCTAAACAAAAGGGGAAAAGATTAAGATTGGAACATGCCCCTTGACAAGAAGCAAGAAGATCTAAGCCTTGGATCATAAACAAATGCTTAAATATAGGGGTCAAGCAAGAACCTAAAATAAGTGAAGTGGGCCAGGTATAAGATCAGTAAGGAGTATTGAGGATGTGGTGACAGGTACAGTTTGGAAGTACTATAAAAATGGAGAAGGGGCAGTTACTACTCAACTCTGACCATTGCCATGTGGGAATATGGCTTACTCAGTGTGTTGCCATATATCTGATTTCTCAAGTGAAGCTGAAATTCAGATTTTTATGAAACTTTCCTGATTTTTAAATTATGGACATCTAAGTCAACTTCTTAAAATACCAGGAGTCTGATATTTTATTTGTGGACCAAAATATCTGTGGACCGACTGGACCCTCCAGTGGCTGGTTTGAGACTTTTTTGGCCTAGGCGTTGTCATTCAGAACTGGCTGACCTCTTAGATGGCACTGTCACAGCCTCGGGGAGTCTGCGACTCTGAACTATGAGGTTCATGCTTATAGCTTACTGGCTACTCTCTGTCCATTTTGGGATGGGAAACCCTTGGCTAGACAGCAAGAATCCAGCCCCGTTAACAATGCCAACCTGGATACGAGGGGATTGTTCACTTGGCTAAACTCCAGACAGAGAAACCGTCCTCCTGGTTTCAGGACTCGATGGGCTTCCTGGAGTGCCTGAGCAAGAAAAGGAATAAGAGAACACACTCCTCAGCAGACCTCATTCAATTCCATGAGGCCAAGACCACTTCAGCTTCTGTGGGGATTATTTAAGTTATTTCCCACAGATTCTTTTTTTCATCCTCAGTTGGGAAGCTATAACAACAGATATAACCCTAAACTATCCTAACTTTTATAGGCCTTCTGCTGCCCATGAAGAGGTTACTTGGAGTAATCTAAACTGACTCACCTTGGTATAACCCCCATGGAGGGCAATTTTTGAATTATCAAAATCACAATGGATGTCCTCTTTGATCAAGTAATTTTACTTTAATGAATCTATCTTACAGAAATGCTTCTGTGGAAATGACATGTATATGGGTTATTCGTTGCAGTACTGTTTGAGCAGCACAAGATTAGAAGCATCTTAACCATTAATGAGAGACTGGTAAAATTATGGAACATCTATACAAATGGAATCTATGCAGCTATTGAAAAATGATAAAAGAAAGGGCCAGTGTTCTTTATATACTGACAGAAAAAATCTCCAAGATATATTTTTGAGGAAAAAAAAAAGTAATGAGAAAATGTTCTATATGTTAATATTTGTATGAAAATAGAATAAATACATTTAATACATACAAAACATCTTTGTAAAGATAAAGATACACAAGAAATTGGCGACTGAAGGGAGAGGAGGAACTGAATGGTTGGGACGCAAGGGTGAGAGGAAGACTTTCACTGATACACTCTTTTTTGTTTCAAACTTTGAATCCATTCCAAATTTTTTTAATGAAAAGAAGTAATGACTGGCTGTAGACACAGGACGGGTCATAAAAACCAATCTAAAAGCACCATAAAGGATGTCCTACCAAGAGCAGGAGAATCAGGCAACTGGAGCCTACGTTACAGAAACAAAACTGGTTGGTGCTTTGCACGTTGTCTTCAAATGCTTTGGACAGAATATTAAAGTAGAAACAAAAAAGAGTTGCATTAGATTAAGAGCTGGACATTCTCTTCTCTCTACAGAGGAACCATGAGTTTACTAGCTACTCTCTGCCAAAATGGTGTATGAGTGCCTTTTTCTGCGTCAGCCTTGGAAATGCCTGTGATCTGCAAACTCACGGGGTCACAAGGCTTCACAAATGAGAGGAAACAGATGAAATATCAGAGCAAGACGGGTAGTATCAAAGATGTAAATACCAACCCAAACGACAAAGGCTCCTATGGGGACTTTCTCTATGGTTTTGGTCTTTATCAATTTTGTGACTGAGAATACTGGCAACTTAAAGGATTGAGGTCCCTAAGCCTGAAACTGTCATTCTACTCAAGAGCTGAGCCCAGAGAAAAATCTCTTCATCCTTCCTCATTCACTGTAGAGCTACTCCAGGGGAACTAATATCCTGAGAATCACACAAGCTGAGGATGCAGCCATTTGTACCCGATCAATGTGTGTGACATTCCGGATCCCAAAGGCAATGGTGTAAACATCAAACTTGTCATCATCAAAGGGCAGTTCTTCAGCATCTCCCAATACCCAAGAAAGTCCTGAAAGAGAAAATTAGTTCTAATCTCAGTCTGGGTGGCTGTCACTTCTGCACCCTGCAAACTGCCAAACCTGAGGAGGGGGTTGTAGGAACCCCCGAATGTGTAGTCAGCCAACAAAAGTGTGGGCAGCCTGGACACCCCATTAGCAGCTAGCTTCTGAAGTGGGGGCAGTCCTGTGGGGCTGAGCCTTGAACTTGTAGAATCTGATGCTAACTCTGGGTAGTTAACTGTCAGAATTTAATCAAATTGTTAGACACCTAGTTGGTATGGGAGAACTGGGAGAACTGTTTGGTGCTGGGCAAACACCACACATTTGGTATCAGGAGTGGTGTCAGGAGAGTGGCTCCATAGAGTAGTGGTTAGCACATCTGCTTTACATGCAAAAGGTCCTGGGTTCACGTCCCAGGTGGAGCGATGGACCATACCCCGGGTGCGCCAGGCCCCGGGTACGACTGGTCCCGGGTGTGCCAGGCCCCCTGAGTGTGCCGGGGGTGCCAGGCCTCGGGGGCACCAGGCCTGGGGTACACGCCATGAATGTATGGGAGGAGACGCCCTGCCTTCAGAGATCCAGTTCTTAAGGGGAAACGGCAACATCCAAAGGAAAAGTGGTGTCAGGAAACAGCACACACCTGTCTTCTCCCTTGGATTCCTTAGCCACTGTCTTCATGGGTATTCTCCAATCCTGAGGACTTGGAGCTGGTATCCCTGAAGTTGAGGGGAAGTCCATTGCCCAAGGCACCGAGTAAATCCTGATGCTTGCTTAGTTATGTCTGCTCTCAAGCAATTTTTACCCATCTAAGTGTTTTGTATAGTGCACTGTGGTTAGGAGCCCAGATCCTGAGGTTTAGACTGCCTGGGTTTCTAGCTTCACCATTTATTAGCTGTATAATCTTGAATAACTACTCTGCCTCAGTTTTCTCATCTGTGAAATGGAGTTAACAATGGTACCTATTTCAGAAGGTCATTGGGAGAATTCTAAGTACAGAATTTTGCATTGCTATATTGGTTCCATTGGCGTCATAGAGAATCAAAGTGTCTAGACCCCCAAGTCTGGTGGTTGTGAATTCAGAAAACACCCAAGGGAGCCCTCATCAGGATGGCTATGTCCTCTAGGGTCCTGATTCTGCTTTAACATTATTCAATTTGCAGCAAATTAGACATAATATGATATACAAGGAAGATTCTATAGTGGAAGGCAAATGAAAACAACCTTTCTGTAAAACAAACTAGCAGTATTTAAGAAGAACCTTGAAAATAAGCATACCCAGCTATTTTGATTTTTAGGACACTGATGACATCACCATAGCTACTGCTTACTGAGTCCTTTGATGGCAGGGTCTGTGCTACCTTTTTCAATTAGCGCCCCCTTATCCAAGGTTTCGCTTTCTGTGGTTTCAGTTATCTGTGGCCAACTGTGCTCCAAAAACATTAAGTGGAAAATTCCAGAAATAAACAATTTGCAAGTTTTAAACTTCACACCCTTCTGAGTAATGGGATGAAACCTTGCTCTGTCTCACTCTGTTCTGCTCTGTCCTGCCCCTGACATGAATCATCCTTTTGTCCAGCACCTCCATAGTATATGTGCTCCGCACCTGTTAGTCACTTAGTAGCCATCTGGGGTATTGCAGTGCTTGTGTTCAAATAATCCTTATTTTACTTAATAATGGCCCTGGGGCACAAGAGTAGTGTGGCAATTTGGATATGCCAAAGAGAAGCCATAAAGTTCTTCCTTTAAGTGAAAGTGAACATCTTCCATTTAATAAGGAAAGGGAAAAAAAGTATGCCAGGGTGCTATGATCTAAAATAAGAACAAATCTTCTATCCGTGAAATTGTGAATAAGGAAAAAGAAATTCATGCTAGTTTTGCTGTCGTACCTCAAACTGCAAAAGTTATAGCCACAGTGCATGATAAGTGCTTAGTTAAGATGGAAAAGGCATTAAATTTGTGGGTGGAAGACATGAGTAGAAATGGGTTCCGACTGACAGCAACGTGTTGCTGTGCCTAATTTGTAAATTAAAACTTTATCATAGGTATGTTTCAAAAACCATAGTATATATAGGATTCAGTATAATCAAAGGTTACAGGTATCCACTAGGGGTCTTAGAACGTATTCCCCATGGATAAGGAGAGGTCTACTGTACATACATCATCTTATCATATCCTCGGACCATCTCCATGAGATAGTTGTTACTATCATCTTCATGTTTCAGGTGAGCAAAGTTGAGTATCAGAGGTTAAAGTAGTTTATCCAAGGTCACACAGATGGTTTAGATGCAAGTAGTTTTATCTCAGAGCCTGTGTTTTTAACAGCTATCGTATAGTACCTCCTATTATGAGATCGTTATTATTTTCTCCATTTCATAGATTGAGATTTAGAAAGTTTAACTTGTCCAAGGTTATATAGTCAGTAAAAAAAAAAATTAATGAATGCATGCCAAAATTTACAAATAAAGATTAACAATATTGTGCTGTGTGTGAAAACATTAAAAAAATTACAGATCAATTGGTTATTGGTTAGGTAGACTGATATTACTTATGAAACATCCATATGGGAGAATATCATAAAAATGATTTTAAAGAATTTTTAATGATGTGGAAAAATCTCATAATACAATTCTGAATTAAGGCAGGATATAAACTGTTTATATTCTTAATTTTACAAAAATGAAATGATTAGAAAAAAGATATGAAGGAAATTTATTAAAATATTGAAGAGTTTAATATTTCTGGATGTTGGGATTATGGGTAACATTTACTTTATAACATTTTTCCAGAATTTTGAATTTGGAAATCCAAATTTTCTCTCAAATATATCACTTCTGGAATACAAGGCAACAAGTTCTGTTGTTCTCAGAACTTCCATTTGGGGAGGAAGTGCTATATATAAACATTAAAAAAAACCCCATATAACAGTGCTACACATAAAAATGCCTTTACATATTAACTTATACATTTATTAAAGAGTTACTAGGATACTCCTACTTAGTTTCAATTATTTTTGTATGATATATATATATACACAAAGGTGTTGTTAGTGGAGACTGATAAAGCAAGGAGGAAAGATAAAGACAACTGTACTAGGCGGCACTTAAGGATTCCTTGCAGGTGGCTTTGTCTCGGCAGTTAGGGGAGCTCGAAGGGCAAGTAGTTATCCCACAGAAGAGCTGATCCCAGAAATGGAACGTCGCCTATCATTTCTGTCTTTGTTCTCCATTTTATATGGCTGAGCACCAGAGAGAAGGGACACGTTTTCAGTAGGAGTAAGGAAACATAGTGCCTTTGTCTAAAAACACCAGCGACTGTCTGCCTTCTGGTCACTGCTGAGGGTTAACAAAAGAACCCTTCATTTTGGGGGCCAAGTGAGTTGTGGTTCCTATAGGCAGCTCCTTCTGGGGGTGGGGGAAGGAGGAGGAGAAAGAACTGAGTTAAAATAACCACAGACACTCCTGGTGGGGGACGGGGAGAAGAGAAGTGCTGATGTTGACCTGAGGGACTCTGTTTTCTTTGTTGTACGCCACTGCCACTGCAGCTCACAGTGGCTGCCTGCAGAGCTTGGCCAGCATGGGAGACAACAGTCCAGCAGCTCTGAAAAGCTGGGTAAACATGGTGCAGCTGCCAGGATCATTACTTCTACTTGAAAATATTTGGTGGGCGGGAGGAGTAGTAATTCGAAGTATTAAAAAAAACCAGAAAGCCAAATGTAAAAAGTACATCTTTAAGCTAGGGCACAAATAATCCATTCTGAGATTGCAGTGAGTTCCTGGAAATATGCAAGCACTCTCGTATCAGCTGTTGAGAGCGCTGTGTAGAAAAGTTTTAAATACTGTGAGTCCTCACTTAACATCATCCATAGGTTCTTGGAAACTGCAATTTTAAGAGAAATCATGTATAACGAAACCGATTTTACCATAGGCTAATTGATATAAAATAAGAGTTAAGTTCCAACGGTATATTTTTGGTCACGAAAACATCACAGAACTTCTAAATAAAGACCCGAAACACTTCTAATGTTAAATATTAAATATTAAAATAAAATTAAAATAAATGTGAACTATACATCATTTAAGAAATATTAAAATAAAGGTGAACTATACATCATTTAAGAAAGATTAATAAAAACAAGTCAGATAATGATTTTTTAACCTGATTACTCCAGGTCAGGGTTGCAGGTAGCTGGAGCCTCTCCCGGCAGCTCAGGGTGCAAGGTGGGACCAATCCTGGACAGGACACCCTTCTATCACACCCACACTCACTCAGATTGGGACAATTTATACATGTCAATTCACCTCATGTGCACAACATTGGGATGTGGGAGAGAACTGGAGTCCTTGGAGAAAACCCACCCACGCAGACAAGGGGAGAACCTGCAAATTCCACACAGACAGTGGCCCTGTTGTGAATTTTTTTTTTCCCTCATCAACATTATAACAAAATGACAAATAAAGAAGCATTAGTTCAGGACCTGCTGTACTGTTTACGGGTGGTTTCTTCGACTTTATCAGTTGGGCCTTCTGAAAAATTGATGCCGAGATAGAGCTATATCTTTTTTAAATATCTTTTTCAATATATGGGATTATCTTTTAATTACATTTTCTAAATGAGAAGTTGTCAGCATGCAGAAATGCTACTGGTTATGCTACACTGAAGATGTAGGCAGCTCTGATTGAACCCTTTCTGTATAAGTTTTTGGGTTTTTTTTAGACTCAATCTCTAGAATTAGAATTGTGGGATCCTAGAATATAAACATTTTAGCAAAAAAGTTTTTTTTTTTTTTTTTTTGTGGTGGGGAGGTGGCGGGGCAGAAACCAGGAAAAGATGAAAGGAAGAGGAAGCATGGGGAAAGCTGTTAGACCTTGATGCTAGTCTCAGCCTATGGACAGGGAGCACAGGAACAAGGAGTCCTACCTGGGAACTGTCCAGGCCCCAAGAGCGCTTTAGAGCTCAGCCATCAGGAAAGAGCCTGGCTGGAAAGCTGAGGCAGGGTTTAAAGGCACTAAGAACTGGAGATTGTCAGCTAACTGCACTCCTGTGGCTGAAGATCAAGTCCCTTCTTTAAGGGCAGTGTATCTGCTTGGCTTCCACATCAATCAAACCATCCTAGCACTAATAGGGGAATGGAATGGCTCAAGAGCAGGACATTGGGGTCATCCGGGACCTGCTGGGAACTGCAAGCAAAACTTCTGTCTCAGTCCAGGAGCTGAGATCTGAAGATTCAGCTCCAATTCAGATCGCCGTTTAAGTTGTGTTACTCTTCTGGGCTTTGGTCATCTCTACCATTACATAGGACTGATATCTAACTCCCTAGATTGGTGTAATAATGTACATAACCATACAAACTGGATTCACCCGCACAAATTACCTTCAACTCTTGCCTACCTAGAAGTTTTTGAAAGATGGAAAATAAAGCACTTCAACATTTTCCATATTCCATCTTATTTTAAAAACATACAGACATATCCTCTGTGTCTACTTGCTATAGAACTTACCAGCTTTGTATCCTTGAGCACAAGCTTTCTGCTTTCCAATCTTTAGCATCTCCTTGTTGATATCACAGACCATGACGTGGGAACCACCCAAGGAATCCTCTTCATTCTGGTATTTTTGGGCAATTTCTTCCCAGGATAAATTTTGCTGGGCCCTTACCTGCCTCTTCTGCTTTCCCCGATGCTGTGCCTGAACATAATTAAGGAACCGGAATGCAATGTCACCTGTGGGAAGCCAACAGGAGGAAATATGCAAACATAAAAAAAACAAAACCCCAGCATTTTCTAAACCCAAAGGGGGCAACAAAGGTACTCATCCCTACAGGAACTGTTTTTTTTTTTTTTTTTTTAACAGCAAGTTTTTAATTTCTAAGATTTTTTAAAGAAACTTTTAAAAAAAATTATATAAGTAATACATGGACATATTTTTACTATAAAAGACTCAATATCTCAACATAAGAATAAACTATGAAAGTCTCATTCTCTGTCCACACCCTCTCCAGACATAACAAGTGTTATGGGCTTAGTGTGCAACCTTCTAGTCCTTTTCTAATAATGATATATGAAAATAACATAAAGGTATAGTTACAGGTAACAATTCCCTGTCCCGCCACCTCCACTCCTAGTTCGGTTTCCCAGAGACCATCTTTCCCAACTCTTTTAGCTGTTTCTTCTGTTGGTTAGAGCTATTTTTTTACTTATCAAATTTTTAATGATTTCCTGACCCTATCTGTGCATACCTCTGTCTTCTCAATATAGTCATATAAGCTTTCCTCATAGATACTTTTATAACCTAGAGTAATAAACTAATCAATATTTTCTTTCTTATTCTATCAACTATAGATGGTATCTCTTGACTCCCTTCAACTTTCTTTTATATGTACTTTTACTCCGTCAAGACTAGTAACATTTTCTGTGTTCTATAGCTATAATTAAGTCTTCTGTGCTTTGTTGATGGTTTGAGTCCAAAAGCTGAAAATCAAGTGTTTACATTATTGTGACAAAGTAAATACTGGGCAAACCCAATGCTTTTCAGGATCACATTTCCTTTCTTATAATGCTGTTTCCTTATCTTGGTTTTCCTTACACTATTTGCAAGAAATATATCCTTAAGTTTTTCCAGTCTCTTCATCCAATTAGGTGTTCTCCAGCCACCTTTCTATATATTTAAATACTTTTATATGTACTCAAATGAAACAATTGAAAAACACAAATGAGTATCATATTATATACATTGTTAGACAACTCATTTTCTTTTTCTTCCCACCTCATGTCTTTGAGAACTTTCTGTTAAGTATTTATAGGTTTTCCTCATAATATTTCATAGAATGGATATATCTTAATTTAAAGCCATTTCTTTATTGAGGAATAAATAGGTTATTTCTAAATTTTTACTACTACTAAAAGTGATACAGTGAGTGTATTTATAGCTATATCTTTTTAAAATGTCTTTTTTTTAAATATATGGGATTACCTCTTAATTACATTTTCTAAATGGGAAGTTGTCAGCATGTAGAAATACTACTGGTTATGGTACACTGGAGATGTAGGCAGCTCTGATTGAAGCCCTCCTGCAGCTTTATCTTTGTGCAAATTTTTTTTTTAGACTCGATATCTAGAATAGGAATTGTGGGATCCTAGATTATAAACATTTTAGATTTTGATAGATTGTGCTAAATTGTCCTCCACTGAACAAGGTATCCTACTGCCTTCTGAGCTTCCATTTGGGGAGAGGACAACACCAACAAAGTTGCCCATATACATGTTTCAAATATGGAGATTATTGTATATTATTCTGTTGGTATAGATGATCATATTATGTCATTATACTTTATTCTAACGTAACTTAACATGTTCATTAACCATGTAATATTACCAAGATGCATTTTAGAAACCTATTTTTCTCCCCAAATGCCTAGTGTTCACAAAGTAACGAACATGCATAAACAACTAAACTTTTGATATTTGAGGTGATAGTGTATTAAGAGAAAAGGCTGCCTACAAAGCTTATATAATAAGATAAAAGGCATTCTCCCCACCCAGAGAAAGAGGGAAAGTGGGTTAAAAGTTAAACAGAAGGTAAAACACTTAGATGGTGAAATGTCCCTGGTGAAATGGCCTTTTTACTTTATAATCCTGTGAAATTTAGAAAAGTGACAAGCCCAAAGCTGATATTCTGTGCTTTTGATCGACATTCAGTTAAAAAGAATAAACTTTTCTTAGAAGTGTATCGATTTTCAACTATCATCTTTAGAATAATGGTAGATGAGCTTAGCTCATTCCAACAAGAGAAACCAATATTTGCAAAAGATGTTCAGTGGTACCCAAGGATGCTGACATGGACATTACCTGTGCCTCCAGCAACATCAAGCAGCTGGGTCCCAGGAAATGGGCGCATCTTCCAGAGCAGCAAATCCTTCCAAACACGATGAATACCAAAACTCATCATGTCATTCATCACATCATACTTCTTGGCCACACTTTCAAACACCTGATAGACTGACAACAGAGAAATACAATACAATTGTGCTATTGACAAGATTAACTTGGAAAAGTCCTAAATGAAAGCAGAGGAAGCCTTTTCCCACTCTGAAATTGCCTGTCTTTGCAAGGGAACCTAAGCCATAATGCTTGACACCCAAATCTACGCCTTAACATTACCTCTTTTAGAAAAGACTTATATTACTTCATGTCAGAAATCAGCCTATTTTCTACTGTCTTAGTTATCTTATCTAGGACCACTAACTCATAATCATTCCATGCACATACTTGGTACTAAACAGGTTTCTGTTTCTTAGAGGATGGTGTGTGTGTGGAATTTTTCTAATGGACGGGAAGGCCTCAGCTCTTCTCTGCCTGCAACACTGAGAAAAACCTCGGGGACAGTTTGGTGGGCAGATGGATGGCAAGATGTGAATCAAGGCTAAGTCACACTGCAGTGTCTTCATGAATCTTCTCCATAGGATCAAGGCAGAATGTGAAATCTGGTCTAGCTGGAGAGAGAAGGTAATTACCATTCAAAACACTTTAAAGTTGCAGTAAGGCTGAATTAGGTAATGAAAAGATGATTTTTAGTCCCTCAGATGAAATGTGCCCAATAGATCGAAACATTACTGTCCTCTGTTGATCAGTGGACCATAGAGCTCCTCCTTTACTTTACTCTTGAATGCCTATTCTCCAAGCTTGCTTTTTTCTTTTGAACATCTTTTGAGGGGATTGAGGGACACTAAATCTCAACACACTTTGTATAAGCACTCCTAGCTGTGCGTAGTTCGGACATGCATGAATTTCCGTTACTTGCGTGGTCATTTTTACCATCCTGCATCACTGTGAAGTACTGCCTGTACTTCATTCTTGGGTCTCAAATACACAAGTCGTGTTTAGCTCAGGGGGTAAATCCTTCCTGCTTGCCATTGTGTGAAATGTTTTTTATATATTGTAAAGCACAAAACACAAATTATGCATCATTATTTTGGAAGCAGCCCATCTAGATTCAAATGCCAGCTCTGTGATTTACTAGCAGAATCTGGGCAAGTGACTTAATATCTGTTTCAACAGTATCTTCCTCTAGAAAACTAGGCTAATAGTCCTACCTCACTGGATTATATTTATAGAAATTAATGTAAAGTATTTTAAAAGGTTTCAGGTTCTCAATAGTTTACTACTGTTTTACTTGGCTCCACTTATTTCACTTGACAAGCAGTTATCAAACTCTTAATATGCATCAGGCACTGAAAATATAGACATGAATGAGCCACTCTCTTAGCTTTCTGGGGATTCACAGTGAAACAAATGTTAATTTAAATTCAATATTCAAAGAGTTACAGAAGAGCTATGTATTTAGTAAGGTTGAGGTGAGAGGTAATACAATGTAGTAGTCTTTAAGAAGATTGGAAATTCCATTGCAGGCTCTTTCTTGTATTTCCTGGGTGACCATAGGCTAAGTGAAGGAAGCTCTTAGAGCCTCACCTTAGCCATCTGAAAAATGGGCATAATACCTTACCCATTATAAATGGCACAGTTGGGAGTTTTACAACAGTTCTTTTCCTTTCCCATGACTGTGGCACAGTGCCGGACTCAAAGAAACTGCTCAATAATATCTAATATTTATTGAACAATTACAGTGTCCGGCATTGTTCAAAATAGTTTAATTTTAATGTATGAAAACATCTAATCCTCACAAGAACTCTAAAAAAATAAACAAAAATAAAAAAATAAAGAACAAATGGTTACTATTATTCCTACTTGGCAAATTTGAAAGCTGAGACAAAGAAATACTTTCCTTCTTCCTCTCCATAAAAAATGACTTGTCCCTTTAGCAAGAGGTTAAGAATGCGGGCTATGTAGTCAGACCAAAATGGATTGGAATACTGGTTCCACCACTTACTAGCTATGTTAAATTGGGCAAGTTCTTGCTTAACCTCTAAGTTTCCTTATGTGTAACATGAGGATAATAATACCTACCATCAAGAAGTTTAAATGAGCATTGAAAACGTCTGCACGGTGCCCGTCACGCTATAGACGCTAAATTAATGGGATTTAGTGACAATTACTCTGCTTAAAAAGAGGAGGTGTCTAAGCTCTGCAGGGTCACGCCGGGGGGACTCCTTGGATTTGAGGATTGACTGCACAATCTACAGCATCGGAGCTAACGGGCCGTTAAATCAACCCTTAGTTGGGCAGAAGAAACTAGATCGTAGACAGTCAAATCCCTCCATCCACCCTCTCGCCTCTTTCACCTTTGCCCCCCTTCTCCTCCTCCGACACAGTCTCAAACCCGAAGTGCGTTTCCGCTGCTCGCTTCTCTTGGGACAAGAGCCGCGCACCCAGCGGACTTCCCGGCCAGGAGCTACGAAGCCCGGGGAACCGGTAGCGCAGCATCACCCGCGACCACCCACGGCCGCAGTAGCCCCATAGAGCGCAACTCCTGGGGGCCGCCATCTTGACAGGTGACAGCTGCCGCACAGTGCGTTGCGTTGCATCACTAGACGGCCGACGGCGGCCGGCTGGAGACAGTATTAACCGAACGCGTCCTGAAACCTGATATTAAGGAGCTGTGCACGATCTCTGGAATCCGGAGGCTACTCAGTCTTTGAGTACCTGAAATCCTTTCTCATTCTTCTCAAATGAATATAGAATTCACCAGGAATAAGCGTACCTTAGGGAGAGCCCGCCCACCCCCTCGCATCTCAGCGGTTATGTCTCTGAATCTCGCCAACCATTAGTACCAGTACTAACTCCCCAAATAGCTAGTAACTCCTGTTTTCTGGTGAAGAAAGGGGGAGCTGAAGTACAGTGTGGTAAAAGGCAATTCTCGCAAACTTTGGTGCACATAAGAATTACCTGGTTTGATTTTTTTAAATGTAGATTCCTGGGCCCGAAATACCAGACAATTTGAATTAGTAAATCTGGTATGGGTACTGGGAATCTTTATTTGACCAAACTTTTCTGGTGATTCTGATGCAAAGAATTTGCAGACCATTCTTGAGAGAAACATTGGCTAGACTAAAAAATTAAACAGGAAAGACTGTTCTTTGGTCTTTCTATTTATGAACCTAGGAGTACATAAACGGAAAAGAAAGCTCTGGTTTATCTATCTATATCTATCTATCTATCTATCTATCTATCAAGGGTAATGTAGACCATCTTGTACAAAAGAGGATGGAGGTGGTGAGTTTTGCTTGGATTTCTGTATGTTTCTGCTTTGATTCCCTTTTTAAATATATATTTCCTGTAACTATTTCACAAGGAGAAAGCACCAAGAACCCTAAGAAACTACTTTGAAAATGAAAATCTCTTTCTGGTTTAATGTAGTCTGACAGATGGTCACCTACCTTCT